TCTTCTATCCAACCAGAATCTAATTTAACAGTTACATTTGTTCCAAAGGCATTCCATGAGTCCCCTATTATATTTAAAATAAGTTTGCTTGAATTAAAATTAGGCAATGTATATCCAAAGACAATGCAATGCAAAGATAATCTATACGGCGAGTCTGAAATCTGTGCCAGGTTATGTAATTGTAGCTAATAAAATCACAAGATCATGTGTAATCTAAAAACATTTACGTAGAAAAAAAGAAAAATCGTAATTAACTAAAGATTTTACTATCTCTTTCAATTAATGATCAAAATAACCTAGCACAGATTTCACATGCATCAATATATACAGCCCACATAAATTATATATTAACTTACGATTAGAATTATTTGGTAGATAATTGGATAGTGGCTCACGAGCACGTCGTGAAACAATAGTCACAGGATGAAACCCGGCCTCATCGGTAGTTACCATTATTCTCAAGTCATTAACAAAAGTTTGATTATTACAATTTGGTATAATACCAATATGGTAAAATTTTTCAGAGCATAATTCTGTAGACCATAATGCACTTTCAACAAGAGATTGTACAATAAATTTTTGGTAATGTTGATTAGCATCAAAGAATTCTTTTAATTCTTCTGAATTAGTGATTGTGTAAATGCCAAGCCCTAATTTTGTAAAAGATAATTAGACCCATGCTATTTGCAATTTAAATATAATAATCAATTATGTAAAGAATTATGTAAATAAAATATTTACCACAACTGCCATAGGGAGATTTAATCACCGCACGACCGCCAATCTTTTCGATACACGAATAAATTTCGCTCTTGTTTACATTATATACAGTTTTTGGAAAACGAATAGCAAGCCCACTTCCGGAAAGTTCAGTATTAAATAATTCAAATGATTTTGCTGCCATAACTTTGTTTTGACCTCCAGCTAAGCATGAGATTATATGATTAAAGACCACAGTCTTGAATTTTAGAGGAAAATAAATCCAAGGTTTATAAGCTATACGATTAAAACATGCTCTAATAGGGTGCCAAACTAATTATGAAAAACAATTAATAGTAAATATTAGTCTTGCAATTTGTGATATTATAATTAGTAATTGTTTGATAATAACCTTCATCTTGATCTTTGATATGCATAATTTTATTCTCCCATTTAAGAAGTTGATCATATTTAGCAATATCGTAAAGCATTACAATCCAAACATGCTCTTTAGTTTCTTCAGAGATTGCAGCCGCAAACCCGGTTGCTTCTGCTTCATCGCTAGCCAAATCACTCAATATAGCAAGCTCTCCAATAGAGGGATCTGTATCTTTTAGAGCTTGTTTAAATGCTGTTTGTGTTATGAACTTATATCCATTATGTCTTTTATTTATATCTAACGAAGGCATTAATTCTTGTCCTGCTGGACTTGAATCGGATTCAACAACAATCATTTGTCGTTTACCATTTGAATCAATTACATTAAAGAAATCAGAAGCTAAGAAAAGTAATATAGAAATATATATTATATACTATATATATGAATAATTAAAACCAAATACATAGTTCGTAATATACATTTAACATAAATCGAAGTAATCACCTCCCCATGTAAAAAATTTTGGTTCATACTCTGAACAGTTCCTCAAAATGTTTGCATCAATTTGTGGATTTAATTTTTATATCTGGTAATAATTCGATCATTTCCTAAACTGAAAAAAGAAGTTACAAGGGGATGAATTGTTGCATTGAGTACTTTTGAAGCAACACATTGTTCCGGCTTAAAATCTCCTGGATACACTTTCTTTGTTGGATTATTAATAGACATGGTGTTGATAAAACCATTATTCTCTTGTTCTTTTTTCGTACAAAGTCTTTTATTTGTATCAGAATTTAAGATTGAATTATTCATTGGAGGTACTGTATTCATGTTGTAGAGAACGGAATTT